TTATAATATCATAGCTGTTATTATTTAAAGATCTGCTATTATTTACAACTCTATTATCAGTTATAGCTTTACAATCTGAGCTAGATTCTCTAGACATAGCATCTTTTTTATCACCATTGTTATTTTTGTACTTCTTGATCACATTATCGTCATTGCTAGTACCATTAATGTCATATGCAGTTTTCATTAACGATTCTAGTAAATTTCTTATCATCGTATTCATTTTTGTAACTTTATCTAATAGTGCTTCTATCACTATAACCAGTTTATTCTGGTAATGATTTCCAACTTTAATTATTCTATTAGCATTATCTTTATTAGTGAATCATTGAGAACTTTCTAATATTTCTCTCTTATCATTATCAATTTTTGCAGAATTAACTTCTTTAGCATACTTTTGATTATAAGTTAATACACTATATCCATCCATCTCAGACAATTTTTGATAATTAATGAATGCTTTATATTTATTCTTTTCAGTATCAGCTTTAACAGCTTTTGATTTTTTTGATTCATTCTTGTTACTATGGAACTTCACAGGTAAGTTCTCAGAGTTTGTGTTTTTCATCTAAATTGACTTCCTTTTATTCAACTTATTAACAATTCTATTTTTCTTTTTATCATTATTTTTTATTAATTCATCTTTAACACATCTGATATTCATAAATTTGTTTTTTTTTTGATCATTATTCTTCATCATACTACTTTTATCCACAACATTTTTATCGATAATCAGTTCTTCCAAAATCACAAACATTGTTTCTCTATAACCAAATCAGATTCCATTCCTCTACTTGAAATTATACCTTGTTTTCGTAACCTATAGCATACCAAGAACTACATCAGAAGCTAATTTACACTTTATATAAAACTTCTAAATCACTTTAATAATATCAACATCAATTTTAATACCAAAAATATATTTAACAACTTCATCATCTTTATTTAAACGTTTCCAGATAAGCTCTTTTTTTCTTATATATTTCATACTTATTAAATTCGAATATAAACTAGTTCTAATCATTGCTTTTGCAAACTTTCTATTTATCTTCACCATCCTTTCTAATATCCTACTATTGTCTTTATTTTTACTATAACCTTTTTGCTCTATTTCAACTTTTTACCTATGTTTCAAACTTTCACAATTTTTTCTTACAACTTCTACATGAGGAATGTCCATTACTTTATTATTTAAATTTCGATCATGACTTTAATCTTTTATAGATTGATATGAACAAGCCAAGTGTCTTTTATGTTAGCACAAGTAACACAAACACAACTCACGTTTTCATTGTTTTCTCTGAAACACTATCAGGTTCTGTACAATCTCTTTAACTACAGTTTCCATAATACTTTTTACCAGCGTTACTAAGTAATTTTCATATTCTATTTTTTTCAAACTCCAATTCTATTAATCAACATCCACTTGCTACCAAGGCTTTTCAATTTGCTACTTCAACAGGGTTTTCTTAATCTTACACTTAGCAAATACTGCGAACTTCAATAATTTTGCAAGTAAAATCTTCATCTACCCAGGTCCTTTATGTTATGAAGTTCTAAGACTACTATATATTTGTGGGTCTTTACTATTAACCTTTACTCACTTGGTTAATTTATGTTGTTATAGAATAGATTGGATATCTTTACAAAACCCAGAAGATCTCCACGATCATAATGAGCTATAATATATAAGGAACAGACCAATAGTTGGTCAAATAATTAGAAATATATCTTTTATACCTTTTATACCTTTTATACTTTTTATACCTTTTAGGATAGAGTATATATAGATTATTTTTTATAAGATATATATGGCAAATCAAGACCTTATATAAACAATAAAAATTAGCCACTAATAAAAATTTTTATAAACATAGTTAATCATTACCAAATTTTTGTAGAATATAAATTATAACTTCTATTTATAGTAGTAAAATTTTAAAGACTATATTATTTTAAAAAAAATATACTTTCTTATACCGTTAAATTTGCTAGAGGAATCTCAAATTTGCTAGGGTTATACAAAAAAATAAATAGTAAAAATATTTCTAAATTAAGTAATTACCCAATTAAATTTGTGCTTACTATGTAATTTGTTACACAAAAAAAATTACTATGTATATCATATAAAAAATGATTTATGTATACTCTACCTTTTATATCTTTTATACTTTTTATATCTTTTATACCTTTTATACCTTTTTTACTTTTTATACCTTTTATACTTTTTATACCTTTACACCTTTTATACCTTTTGTACCTTTTGTACCTTTTATATATTTATACTATTATACCTTTATACTTTTTATACCTTTTCTATTATTTGTATTTTGTATAACAATAACATTTTCTTAGTATTTGTAAAAGTATATAAACCCTAGCTTTCTGCCCTCTTGTAGCTTTAGGATTAGTTCCTTGCAATCTTTAGTTATTAGAATTCTTTAGACACAGATACTTATTGATAGCCTTGTATCTTAAATATTGTATTGTTAATAAATATATACCTTTTGCTCTCTGAATAAACTATTAATAAACTATACCGAACTGCCCTTAGTGAAGTAACACCCCACTTCTATACCACTTTATATCTCTCTCTGTTGTCTCCAAGATCCCTGTCACCATGTGCTGTGTTGCAAGTACTATATTTACAAGAAGGCTATAGTCACTTGTAATATTTTGGTGCCTCCTAGTGAAAACCAAAATTAAATATCCCAGTATTCTCTCTTGCTTCTTAAAGATTAATTTATTTGCGAACGTCTATTACTACAAGAGTAATAGTATACTTGAAAAACCTGTCAAATTAAAAAAGATTTGCACAGAAGGGTATACTTGACGCCTCTGCTTTAGTAGCAACTTGGAAAGTTCTATCAAATTAAAAGAGATTTGTACAGAAAGGCCATTTTAAGCCTCTGCTTTTATAGCAACCAGAAGCTCACAACTTGCTGCAAACCTTAACTAAGCATTAAGCATGAATTATCCACAAGCCAAAGTGTAAGCATAAGTAATTCCAAATTTTAAATTAATTACTAATTATTTTAGATACAAATTTAAACAAAACCCTGTATGAATCAAGCTTACAAGATTCATCATGAACAAATCAAAGCACATGAAGCTAGTCACCCATCAACTCTACCTACCGAAGATTTACAATTACAAAACTCTGATTTATCTTGCAATATTTGCTACTTTGCTTTTAGTTTTCACCATTCTTATCATTGCTTTTAGACTAAATATAGAGATACTTATTTTGCCACCAAATATACTCAAAAGATAGTTAATATTCATTTTCAACTAAGTACTATACAAAATTATAATACAGCTAGAGTTGCTGCTTATGATATTGTCTTTAGCTGCTACTACATCAACCCCTATTTAGATCTAAAGGAAACAATATCTGATCTTCTTTGACAAAATACTCCTTATACTCTTGTTCCTACTCTACCTCTTGATTTTAAAAGCAATATCTTTGATCATTATATTGAAGCCCCTTTTTTATTAATCATATTACAACTTTGTCAAATAGCTACTACTTTTGAAGCTTATTCTCCTTTCTCCTGTGAACAAGATCTTAGTACAGATATTACTTTTGACATAGTTCTACCTATACAGTTAATATATATATTAAAACCTGATGATTTAGATACTATCTCTAATAACCCCACCTTATCTAGTTTATCTCTATATAACAAAGATACCACTCAAATAGAATTTTCTTCTCGACTTAATCTTCTCTCTTCCTCTCTTACAACAATTCTATTAGATATTCCTCCTCATCAATCTAGCCCAACACTCTCTACTAGTTGACAACCTACTAGATTTAACCAATTTATTCAACGTGTTAACCCTTTTTTCACTAATTGCACAACTATAACTTATCCTTCTCCCCCTATTATCAGAGCCTATCCCCAAACATCTTTAAGTACTATACCTCTAAATACTCCACTTCAACTCCATCAACTGATTCCAACTACCTATTCTGAAAATACTCACCAAATTATAGAAATTGATCTAGAAGCTAACTTTGAACTACATTTCTTTGAAGACTCTAAATTATCTGAAGTATACCCTTTACCTGGTGAATATCCTTCTGACAATGAATCTGAGCATACTGAAATATCTGAACACCAAGATGACCAAAACCTTGAACCTAAACAACCAGAAGAAAGCCTCAAACTCAAAGAAATTGAACAAGCACTTTTAAACAATATGGCAAATGCTGCTTTAACTACTGCTGTACAAGCAATAACTCAACTTGCTAAAGCTCTTGGACAAGGTGGTGAAAAATTACTTATTAAAATAGATTATTATCAAGGTGATAGAACCAAAGACTCTATAACCTGAATAGAAGAATTCAAAAGAGCTGCCAAAGCTAATCACTGGAGTACTGCTCAACAATTAGAATTAGCTACTGCTTATATAAAGGACAATGCTCAAGAATGGTTTACTAGTCTTGCAAATACACCAACTCACTTTCACTATAATCTACATAGCCAACTAGTAAATGATTAACAAATTAAAAGTTTTTCTCACCTATTTAAAGAAAAGTTTAGCACTACCAAACAAAAAGCAGAATAGCAAAAACAACTTTTACAATAAAACAAAGAACAGATATAGTTGATACCTATGTTAGCTGCTTTAAACAATTAAAAGCCAGAGTTGATCCTGAAAATGACCTTCCTGCCTTATTACTTATTCAATTCTTTATTTAAGAATTACATCCAAAATATGCTATAAATGTTCAAGCTACTAAACATGACATCTTGAATGCTACTATAACCGAAGCTAGGAAATGAGAAACTGGAAGAACCATGGCCACTGACTATAATACCAACAATACTACTAATCAAGCTATTAAATATCTTACTAAACAAATTGCTAAATTATCAATCTTGCAGAAAAACAAAATACTCCTTCTACTCCTGTCTATTACACAGACAACAATAAAAGTTCTTCATGACAAAGTAATAATAATAGTAGCAATGTTGTATGCTATTATTGTGGAAATAAAGGACATTTCATTAGAGAGTGCCGTATTAGAAAAGAAGATAAAAATAGAAGCTCTCATGTCTATTCCCGTGATTGATATAGCTCTTCATTATCAAAGAATCATCAATCTTATAACCGATCTCGATCTAGAAATAGAAACAGCCGAACTTCTAATCATTCTAGATATGATTGATCTAGAAG